TAATTAGTTTTCATTTCATTATTTAATATTATGTTCCACAACTTTGGTCCTCGGTTTACAATAGAGAATTTAGTAGCGGAATAATAAGTTTTGGATTGAATGGAGTTGTATTTTGAAAATCTTGTAGGGTATATGTGATTTATTTTTTCAAAAATTGAATAAAATAAGATTGGTAATATATTTTTATCAAGTTTGAACATGCAAATGAGAACTTGATAGAGGTTTGGTTTATATACATTTAGGATATTGAGTTCATTAAAAAGTGTTTGTGTGTGTGAAAAACGATCTACGTTTGAAATTATCCTTATAGCCTTTGTTTTAAACAAAATTATCCTTATAGTTTTTGTTTGCTAAGCAATTTTTTTATTTTTGTCGCGTTAGTGCTACACCAAGCAATACTCGCATAACTTAAGTAGCAATGAATAAAAGAAAAGTAAATGTTTTTTAAACAAGATCGATGTAATAACTGCTTTGCTTTGTACATTATTCCTAAATTTTTTGATATTTTATCTTCAACTACACCTATGTGTTCCCTCCAGGTTACATTTTTGTCTAGAAACACGCCTAAAAACTTAATTGATTGCTCTCTCTTTATTAATTGATTGTCAATAAAAAGGTCTGGGAGTTCTAAGGGAATATCTGATTTTTTATGTAGGCGATGGAATAAAGTGTATTTTGTTTTAGTAATATTTAAAGATAACTTGTTTGATTTAAACCATTGGGTTAGTTTGTCTAGTTCTTTGTTTAATGTTTGGAATAATATATTGATATCTTTATTGGAATAAAACAAGCTGGTATCTTCTGCAAATAAAATTGTATTTAAAATGTTAGAAAATTTATTTAAATCGTTTATATAAACAAGAAATAGAAGTGGCCCTAAAATTGATCCTTGAGGAACACCACATTTAATTGTCTCATAATTAATTTTTACTTCATCATAAACTATATACTGCTTCCTATTGGTCAAATAACTCTCGAACCAGAACAAGTTAGTATTTTTTATACCATAACTTTTGAGTTTCGATAGAAGGATTTGATGATTGACTGTATCGAAAGCTTTACTTAAATCGATAAAAAGACCTAGGTTATACTTGCCTTTATCAAACGATTTAAATATGTCCTGAACAAGGTGAGTGATTGCATGATCGGTGGAATGGCCAGATTTGAGTCCAAATTGTTTATGATAAAGAATATTATTTACATTTAAAAAAGAATAAAGCCTATTATACATAACTCGCTTTAATATTTTAGAAAAATAATTAAGAATTGAGATTGGACGATAATTTGCAACTTCAGAAGGATCGCCTGACTTTAAAATTGGAATGATTTTTGCAATTTTTAGGTTTTCTGGAAAAACACCATGTTTTAAAGATAAATTAAAAATATGTAATAAAGGAATTTTTATGTATTTTATCGATTTAATAACGACATTACTACTTTTAGAATCGAAACCTACACTTTTTTTGGGCTTTAACAAAGAGACTGCGTCTAATAATTCATTTTCCGTAAGTTTAGGATTAGACATAACACTAATGTTGCTATATTTGATGATAAAATAGGACCTATATTTACAAAAAACTGATTAAGTGTTTCGGCCACTAAGGACTTATTTACAATACAATTGTTATTAACTTTAAGATTTTTCGGAAGTAAATTACCGTGTAAACCCGATTACCTCCTTAATAATTTATATTACCGTGTAAACCCGATTACCTCCTTAATAATTTGCCATGTTTTTTTCGAATCATTTTTGTGTTTAAATAATTGTTCCGAATAGTAATGTTTCTTTGAGCGTTTCAAAACTGATTCATATAGCCGTTTATAGGTTTTGTAATTAGTTTCATTTTTGAGAGTTTTTTTTTTTAAGAAACTTGTTATATAAACGTTGTTTTATTTTTGAGGATTTTAGAATGCCCTTTGTGATCCAAGGGTTTAAAAGTGTTTTTGTTTTGATAACTTTAGTAACTTCCGGGAATGCTTTATTATAAAGATTAAGAAATTCAGTTAAAAAGATATCATATGCTTTATCGGCATTTAGATTTAGTTGTAGGTTGTCACAGTTAACACCAGTAAGAAGTTTATGAAAATTTTTGGTAGAAGCGTCGTTTATTAACCGTGTTGTAATTAATTTTTTTCTATCACTAAAAGCATCATAGTCGATGCATTTTTGCAATAAAATGAAAATAGGGAAGTGATCAGAAATGTCAGATTTAAATATACCTGTCCTTATTTTAATATTTACGAAATCATTTGTATCAATTTGATCTAAAGATGTTGCACTTTATCTAGTTGTTCGCGTTGGTTTATTGATTAGGGGAATATAACTATTTTGAAAAATTGTGTTAAAAAAGTTCTTAATGTTTTTATTTTTGTCGTATTCTAATATATTAAGATTAATGTCACCAACAATATAAACCGATTTATTTATAGATGATTTTTTTTAATTATACTTTTAATGTGATTTTCAAATGCCTTAATACTTCCTGAGGGCGGTCTATATAAAGCATGGATGACGATATTTCTTGAAGTTTTATTAATAATTTCAACACATAAAGATTCATAATCATTAGTGGTTGAACTTAACTGTGGTTTCCTTTTGAATAAAATTGAATTTTTTATGTATATACACAAACCTCCACCTTCCTTATTTGATGCTCTAACTTGATGAATTACTTTATAATTAGGTAATTGAAAATTGGAATTGTTTTCAATGCTTACATCGTGACACCATGTCTCGCTGAGACAAATTACCTGAAATCTAATGTCAATTTTATGTAAAAATTGTTTCAAAGACTCAAAATATTTTTGAATACTTCTAGTATTAATGTGAAGCATTGAAAACGAATTATCTTCCATTCCTTTATCAATATTTTTTGAATTTGGGTTATAGTATATCGGGCTAGTATTTTTAATTACTTGACTATCGTTAAAAAAATTATAATCGGGATCCGAATAGTTGTTTAAACTTATTGGCTTTTTCTGTGAATTAAATTTATGTTTGATAAAACAATATTGTCAGCCATTTCAAATAAAAAATAAATCAATATAAAAATAAAAATAAAAAAGAAATAAAAAAAAAATAATTTAACATGATTTTTTTTTCTAAATTCTTTAACAATGAGCTTATCATATATAACAACAGAATATTTACCGTTTATCCTATGCGTTTTGCTTTCTTCAAGAAGTTTCTTTCTTATTATAGTAGTTTCTAGCGAAAAATCCTCGTTAATATAAATTCCAGAACCTTTTAGTTTGTTGGCGTTTTTTAAAATCTTTACTTTGTCTTTATAATTTAGTAACTTAATTACAATTGTTCTAGGCTTTTTATTATCGATAATACCAGTTCTGTGCGCTCTTTCTATGATTACATCTTTTACATTTAGGTTATTTTCAAGAAGGTTTATTATTTTTACTTCCGTATCATCCTAGTTTTCGTTATCATTTTCTTTGACTCCTTCGATTCGAAGATTGTTTCTCCTTTGACGATCTTCTAGTTGTCTAAATATATTTTTTTTATTCTCCCCTATTATTGCATTCGACCATATTTTTTTTTCCACATCACTGACTTTTTTATCATTTATCAATTTTTTTTCCAAATCGCTGACTTTTTTATCATGGCGATGATAGAACGTTAGACTTTCTTCAATGTCTTTTTGTATTTTTTCATACTTTATCATCTGCTTGTTTGTTTTTTTAAGATCGGTATTTCGGTTTTCGTTTTCCTTTTTTAAAACTTCACAAGAGTTCTTTAATGTATTAATTTCTTTTAGCAATCCATCAATTCGATCGTTAGCCAGTTTTAAATTTGCACTTATTAACGCTAAAATATCTTTTTGTTGTTTTTGGAACATTTCTTGAAATATTTCACGAACTAATTTTATTGAGACTTCAGTGTTAAGTTTTGAACTCATTATTGATAAGATTTGAAAAATAAATAAACGTATTGACAAAAAAAAAAATGCCGGCGATGCCGTTCTAAATGAAAACATTTCTTTAGATAATTCTGTAGACATCCCAGACCCAGGTAGTTTTGTATCATATTTAAAAATCAATAAACTTTTTCTTAGATGTTTTAAAAAGTTATTTGAATCAGGTATAACATTTGTTGATAAAAATTCTGAATAAAAATTACAAAGTAGATGTAAAAGTGGTACGGTGGTTGATGCAACATATGTCTAAAATAAAAATTTTCAATGTTTTCAACTTAAGTTAAAACAAACTCTAGTTCAGAAAAATCTTAAATGGGCAAAACGCTTGTTCATCAAGCTCTTGAATGTTGTACAAGTTAATCCAGCCTCTAGCCAAGAGTTTCTCTAAAACGTCTGTCGAAACAGTTTCAAAGTCTTTAGCTGCAAGATCGATTGTCCAGAATATACCAGCTATATCTACAAGTACAAAACGTTCTGTCAGAAGTTTGTTTTATAATAATCATTAAACTTTTGCTATAATAATGTATTACTGTATTTTCCTATGTGCCCAGTTAATAACAATCTAGTTTGTGTTAAGTAGTCACTAAAATATTTGTGCTACTTTTTAATTTTTTAAAAACTTATCATCAATTGATATTATCATATGCATGCAAAAATTTATTTTAAATTGTAAACATCATAAAATATAATTTAAGTCTCCACTTTCACATATTTTTTTAAGCATCTATAATTAAAATTGTTTAGGCTTCGACAAAACAACCGGCATCGCCGTCATCTAACATCTCTTTAGATAATGAGTACGGCACATTAAAGAAAGCTAATATCAAGCAGGAACTGGATATGTGAAATAAAGAGGCTGAATAAAGAGCTGAACGTCATCTGATGGAGAAAATTCGGTTTAAGGTGGAAATGGAAAAAGTTATTCTTGAGCAACAACTTCTCCGAGCTCAAATCCAGTCTTTAACTCCTCAAACATCCAAACCAAATACTTTCAGTCCTAATGAATCATAGAAACTTTTATATTCTTTAATAAAGTTTTATTATAGAACTATATTAAACTGTTTCAGCAAGGATCATTTAAACTGTTTAAAAATTGTTGCCTAAACAAGTTTAAAACCTTTTATATTTTTAATAAGGAATATATTACGTACTAACTCTAGATTAAAAAATGTTCAAAATTTGAGAGCTGGTAAGTGATTAAAGAATATTTCAATATAAGTTACTCAAATTAGGGTCAGGTAAAAATTAAGCAAATGTCAAAACTCCTCAACTCCAACCTCCCGTATACCTGAAAAAAACAAAAATAGGTAGATACAAAATTTTCTAGATATTACATTATATTGGACAGCTTTTTACTTTCCTTTCCAATACCAATGGTATAAGTAAAAACGACGCTCTAAGTATACGGCTACTTTCTTAGAAATTAAACTTTATATTCTATAGGGTTGGATTTGGTTATCAGCTGTCTAACATAATGTAAATCTAATAACCTAATAAGATATGAACAAGAGAAAAACTTGAAATTTTTGTTTAAAATTTAATAATTTTTTTAAAACTAAATTTAATAAACTGTGTTTATTTATATCAGTTAAACAACTGCAGTGTTTGATCCGTATGAGTACCTGATTGAATTTGAGCTTGAGTGTCGTCCCAAGCTTGAAAGGGCAAAGGTGTGGCAAGTAAAACTGAAAAATCTTCATCCTTATCAGCAAATTTAAGGGATATATTGTTAATTATACAAGCACAAACAACAAGTTTTACAGCATTTTCTACTTTAGAAAATCGAATAGGTACTTGCAGAGAGTAAAACCAGTTTTTCAAAATCTCAAAACATCGCTTGATAATATTTCTAGTTTATTGGTGCACATCATTGAACCGACGCTTGAAAGCTGTTTGGTTGTCAATGTAAGGTGTGATAAACCAACTGTTGCAGGGGTAGCCATAGTCATCTAAGACAACTGCTCCAGGAAAAATTTGCAAACCCCAGACCTCAAAAGCATCCTAAAGTGCTGATTGACGTAACACCTAAAATGTTTGAATAAGAAATACTAAATACTCTAAATATGAAAAATGTAGAAAATATAATATTTTGTAGAGTGTAATTTTTAACGCTTTTCAAAATAAAGTATAAAAATTGTTCATGTATAAATAATATCTATTTTAGATAAGAAACAAAGTCCATGATAATGAAAACATTAAAGAATTGTTTATATGGATGTTACACTAGTTGTATACATATCTGTTTACTTTTTAAAATATTTAGATAATTAATAAATTATCTAAATAACAGTATTAAGCTAAAATTTATTTTATACAAATCCAGTAAACAAATACTTACTCTATAATCATGTCATCGCCCACACAGTGGTCAGAAAGGCTTGAAAATGCGAAATATTTCAAAAATACTAATTTTTAAAAACGAACTAACGTTTATGCCAAATAATTTTTCAAGCCTTCAAGAAAGTACACTTGAAATATTTTTGCTCTAGTGCACTGAATTTTTGTATTTCGACCCATTTAAAGCGCGAGGGTTAAAAATCAAATTATTGAAACTGAAAAATGTCTTTATATTTTTACACGCTTAGGGCTAAATTTTTTAGTATATCATATCCAGTTTTACAAATTTGCAAAATTGTGCAGTAAGATTAATCTAAAATGAAACTCAGTGTAAAGTGATTAATTTAAAGGTCACAGAAAGTAAATGATGTCAGATCATTTTTAAAATTGACCAAATTTTATTTTAAAAGAATAGAAAAATTAAATTTCTGGTTTTTGTCCAACTCTGTCCAATTCTACTCAAACTTTAAAGTATCGATTAAGAATCACTTAACCATTACTGCTTAAAATCATACCCCCTACGTCCCCCTTTTAAAATTAAATCAATTCATTCAGCCGGCATGCCATTGCCATGACAATCCTAAATTTGCCGCGCATCCTAATTTGCGCGGCAAATTTTGATTAGAAAATTGTACATAAAAATTTTGATTACAAAATTGTACATAAAAAGTTGGGTATTCATTAGAAAGCCTATTATTTAAGTTATGCAATTAACAGTTTAATTAATTGTTCAGTACTAAATTTCTACAACGTCAACAACAATGTTTTAATTTGAGACATCATCTATAGTTTAAAGGTAAGAATTTTTATCTTATTCAAATTTTCCTGTACTTCTATTAGCATTAAAAGAACTAAAGAACAATTTCAGGCAAATTACTAACAGCTCTATCTTGGTTGCAAATATTTCATGCTACTCAAACAAAATGTAAATGTACAGTTTTCATTTGATAGTAAATGCAAAAAAATATGCTTAAAAGCTTTTATAATTTTTCTTTTAGATGTCCGTGCCACAAAAAGGCACGAGTTGATTTAAATCAAAAATCATTTGTTAAGTCATGAAAAAGAGTAATGTTTCTGTTACAAACAGAAATGGTCAATTTGAAGTTATTCAAGAATATATTTTTTCTGTACTAATTTCCATTACTTGAAACTAAAAATCAACTCCTTTTTGTTGCACGTCATTGCAAGGTACAGGAAATGCAACTACTGTTTTTGAAAAATTCATGAAAAACAGTGCTTTATTTCTTGACAACACTCTCATTCCAAAAGAAAGCCTTCACAGCTCAGCATCAGAAAGTGAAGCTAGCTCATCTTCATCAATGCTGCCTATAGAGAAGCAAAAAGTTGGAAGGAAAAGTTAGCCATTCAGTGAAAAGTCAGAGAGAGCACAGCAAATTTCAAGTGAAAAAATTTGTCAAGAATATGAATCTGAGGCAATACCAAGGCTGCTTCGCAACAAGGCACAACTCTGGCACTTGATGCAATTTCATCAGAAAAAACTTGAGAAGTCATGCAAAAAACTCCGGAGGAGGCCCAACTACAACAAAACAGTTAAGGCCAAGATAAATTGCCGACCAAAAGATATTTACCTTTTTGAATATTCAGCATGGGTACCAATGCAGAATCTCCTTGATCACACAGTAAAGAGGATTTTAGAAAAAAATCCAGTCCTTGAAATAATGACAGAGGGCAGTAACAACGTTGAGCTCATTCTTTACTTTAAGCTAAGTTTTGATGGATGCGGATCATTCAACACTTTTCATCAGAAAGACTCTAATGATGAGGTTCCAGATGGCAGCACGTTAATGGCGAGTCAATTTGTATCATTGCAAATCATTGACTACCATTTGAATACCTTTCTGGGCAATTGTTTGTACCATTACAAACAATTGCCCAGAAAGGGGAGTATACTTTAACCAGCCTTTAAATTCTGCTCAGTCATGTCAACCCTTACGAAAAGGAGTCAAAAGTGCCATCAAAAATGAGTCGACCAGGCTTCAGAAGGAAAAAGCAGAACTTCAGCCTTACATTTTGTCTGAAAATCTAGAAGTCAAAGTTACCTACCATGGACTTTTTTCACCATGGTAGATGGAAAGGTTCTCCAACAATTGACAGACTGTCCAGCATCAACATCAATTCCAATATGCCATGAGTTTTGTGGGAAAATTGCTAAGCCTGATAGAGATTTTACTCCCATGCCTGGATCTTTGAAGCATCAGTTTTGCATTTTGGCTTGAGAGCTTTTGATAGCCTTTGTCACATTGGCTACAGGCAAAACATCAAAAAATGTCGAAAGCATTTGACACCAGAGGAGAAAGCAAACATTGCAACTACACAAGAACATGTGAAGGCACAATTTGCAGAAAAATTAGGCATTATTGTTGATAAAAGACGGGTTGGCGGCGCCGGTGTCATGAAATAAATTAACCCCCATAATAAATTAACTCCCGTAGCGTAAAAAGTTATCTGGGGAGTTAATCTATTTTAAAATAGATTAACTCCCCTTCAAATAAATTAACCCCTGTCGGCGAAACAAATTAACTCCCCATAATATTTTAACTCCCTTGGAACAACTTAAACGAATTACGGAAAAAGTTATTCAACTTGATTTCCAAATGTGTTTGTTTTTAAATATGTTAATTTGTTTTAATATGGTATAATAACAGTAGCACTATACATATCTAAAGCATTATTAAATATTTATACATTTGATATATATAAGTATATTGAATATTTCAACCGATATATTAGTATTCGATATATATGTATATCGAATACTACCATCTATAATTTGTTCCTCTGTTCTTTTAAGAATATTCAGCACTCTATCTTATAGAATGCATTAAAAATTATTGTTATATATACATATATACATATATATATATATATATATATATATATATATATATATATATATATATATATATATATATATATATATATATATATATATATATATATATATATATATATATACTTCTAACAGCAAGAAGTGTATTATAAAAGATTAAAGAAAAAATATACGCTATGTGAGCCTAGATATAATGATTATATGTTTATATATGAATCATCCCAAAATCATTTATTCGTTTTCCTGTATATTGAAATTTCGTTTAATTATTATAACTATAGGAATTATAGTTGATTATATGCAATGTTACTTACGGGACGCAAAAAATCATTGCATTAAACCTGTTGTTTTCAGTTAAAAATTTTAAGCCAAATAATTAACCTACATAATCTGGCTACTTTAATTAAATGAAGTAGTTATTATTCTGCGTAAAACTATTTAAAAGATTGTTTTAGTTTGATGTGGACTTGAAGGATAAATGACAATAACTGAATAATTTCTTTTTAACTTTTTATTACCTAAAACAATAAGAAATATTATAAAACAATAATATTGATCAATTTCATCACATTCTCCCCGACATTTTTAAGTTTTAAGTAGTCTATTGTTCAAAGATCAAACCGATTTGAAGTCATGCGCATTCGAGTTGATCATCTTGGTAAATATCATATTCAACCTTCTTGAACATGGCAAGGCGAGACTCACTGGATGTCTAGGAAGATCCAATGACACAGTCTCATCTGGTTTTTATAACTAGTGTGCAGTCTTATCTGGTTCTTGTAACAGGTGTGCAGTAGATTGTTCCCATAAGCTTAGATACCGTTTTTAATTGTAAGTTAACTGTATGCGAGTCTTAAGTTAGTGGTGCAAGGTGACAAATAGAAACCGTAGATTCACGACCATAAGCATGCTAAATATGCATTATAAATTGTGGGTTTGCTTCCATTAGGAATACCTCATCTACATCAAATTTATACTTAGAATTTTTAAGATGTCTCTTTAATAACACCTTGCCAGGTTGTGCAAGCAATAATTGGATTGAATGTCCATTAGCAGAACATCTTTGATACGTAAAGAGTCCTTCATGAGGAGTTTCATTGGTAGTGGTCTTGATTTTTCACATTTTTTGTTGTTGTTAGTTAAATTCTTTGCTTTACCAGCTAAAAGGAAGAATTTTAAAGTTGTAGCCATGATTCTTTTACATCATTCCACAGATTGTCAAATTATCAAGATAAGCAAAAGTCTTTCAATATATCATCAGCAATAAAATTGTCCACTGTTTTTTGAAATTACTCCTAACTTTTGAGTTACTCTGTTTGTCACACTAAAAGGCATATACATAAACTGATGTAAACCTCTGTCAGCTTCAAATGCAGTAAACAGGCGATATTCTTGTTTAATTGGGATCTGGTGATAGGCTGATTTTAAATCAATGGTGTTCAAGTATCGGTACTGCAAAATTTTGCTTACAAGTACTTATGGTAGAGGGTATCGTAAATCGTAAACAAGTAGTACCATTTGATTTAACATGCTCCTCATTTGAGTCAATAAGTTGTGGAGTTCCACAAGGATCAATACTTGGACCTTTACTGTTTTTAATTTATATTAATGATATTTATTTGTCATCAAAAATACTTAATTATATTATTTTTGCAGACGATACTAATGTTTTCTATTCTGATTCAAATTTAAAAAATATTTTTTGTAATGTAAACACTGAACTAACATATCTCAATGAGTGGTTTATAGCAAATAAACTTTCGTTGAATATTGAAAAAACAAAATATATTTTGTTTGCTAAACCATCTAAATCCGAGAATCTTCCACTTACACTACC